ATGTCAAGTGAATAGTGTTTGCATCAACATTGTGACTCGTAGTATAGCAATTATGTGATCAATTTAGTAGTCCCGAAGATTTTTGGATAATTTGTAAAAATTATTCATGTCTTGACCTCTTAATTTTATAATTAGGTTATGTATTGTGACACTTGAAGTATTTAAGTGAATGATCATTTGTGACACTGTCATTTATGTATTCATGGGCTAATTGGACTAACTATTCTTTTGGTATTTTTGATGTAGTGAGATATGTCCATGTTTGCTTGTTATATGGAGTCCATACATCTATAATTTTAGTGGAAGATAATTGCAATTATATTGAACTTGTTCACATTGTAATATTAGAAATGGGGTTAGATTCTAAAGAGGACACAATTATAATAAAATGTATTGAATAGAAGAATGTCATTTTTTGATTGTCGCCTATAAGTTCGTGTGATTGTGACTTCAATTCACATTAATGTGTGTATCTATAGTTTACGTAGTTCACATTTAAAGAATATAAACAAAAGTCATCGAATCTTGGAGAGTTAACAATTCATACGTTAAATTATAACTGTGATATATTAATTTCTTATGAAATGTTGTGATTGTGTCATATTATGTTGTCGGATTGTGACGTAAAATGTTATTCGAATGTGATATGTAAGTTTGTGTGATTGTAATCTCAATTCACGTAAATGTAACTATCTGTAACTTATATAGTATGTACATTTAAAGAATATGAACAAAGTCATGTGATTTTGAAGATATAGCAATTCATACATTAAAATTATGATTGTGATCTATTATTTTGTGACCTAATGTGTTATGTAAGCTGTTACTTGAATGTTACATATAAGTTTGTGTGACTGTGATTTCAATTCACGTGAATGTGACCGCCTAAAGTTTATTTAGTAAGTACAATTGAAAAATATGAACAAATTCATATGACATTGGAAATAGCAATTCATACATTATATTGTGACTATGATCTATTAATTTGTGACCGTTTGTTATGAGTGTGAGTGTGATCTATTGCTTGGCCACCTATTTTTTGTGATTGTTACTCCAATTGTTTTGCTACGTTGTGCCTATGACTTACTGTTATGTTTGATTCTGACCTACAATAATAATATACGTCACAATCTTCTGGTCACAATGATGTACCTTAATTAATCTGTCCCTACAGCAAGTCACAAATCATTTCGGTGAAGAAGCATTTGAGTAACAATTAAACAAAGTAATCAGTAAAATCGACATTCAAACATCACAATCACACAAATACACTATCTAGGTCACAGTTTGGGTAAAAAGTTTCTCAGCCTATTTTCTTGACAGCAACAAAAGCGAGGTACAAAGATTATATCACATATAAAGAAATGAACATGATGAACCCATCAAATAAGAAAAACAAAAATTCTATTTCAACAAAGTTGGGTTACAAAAGTGGCTTTACAAAGTGTGTTGACGGAATCCAGGCCACTGATTTCAAATGATTTAAAAATCTATTTTTGAAATGATTGGTATAGATCCAACTTAGTCATCCAATTTTGTCAAACTCCTTTGTCATTGTAGCATAACTCTAAGAAAAATATGCTCAATGGAACAAATTGCCAAGCATATGCTAATGCTTAAAATAAATCCTACACGAAATTGCCCCCAATAGGGGGCTGCCATACAGGCCCTTGTTTGGACAGGGGGCCTGTCCCCATAGCGTAATCCGTGTTCTCTACATTTGAAAGGTACCACAAAAGTAAGATGGGCAAAGACCCAAGCTCTGAAATATTTCCTCTTTCTAACTGGAAGGCAGATTATCTCGAGGACCTCATACTCGACGCCAATTAAAAAGCATCCAAAATAAAAATACAGTTGCATCAATGTCACAAACTATAGCCGACCATCCACTTCAATATACGGAAAGGCGTGTGTTTCTTTGTAAACAACAGTAATAATGATATCTAGTACTAGTGGTGCTACTAAAACACCAGTTTAGATGCGCAATGCAAGGTAGAATACTGACTCATTTAATTGTTACTCTTATATAATGGTATAAGATTAGTTGATAAATAACATCTTATTGGATAAATTCATCTTATACCTAATGAAAAGCTAATTATCACCTGATTTATTTGAAAATTTTAATACCTTATTAAATAATAATGAAACTTTAAAAACATGATTTTTCTTAATTTTCTCTTCTGTAAATTGCCCAACTCTCATACCCGAATCCCAACGAAAACCTCCATAGGAGCCCAATAGAAACAAGCAAATTCAAGCCCAATTTATATTTCCTTTCATTTATGGGTATCTAAACTGAGTACAGTACAAAGTGAATAGACAATATTTTGGGCTTATTTTGACCCATTTTCAAATTGGGCTCTAGACAACCATATTAGTCTAATTTCCAAGAAATCTTCACAACCAAATTCAAACATTTTATTTTACATTGTTCTTCTAAGCAAAGTCACAATACTCGACCAGAACAAGTTCAACACTATACCCAAAGGAGTTGAAATCTGCTATCCAAAATCGTCTGTCCAATTTCCTGTCCACTCAATAATTCATTAACACATCACTTTAAATTAACATGTCCAATTTTTCTTTCAGTGTCACCTGTGCTTAAAAAAAGATTTAAAATTATGCGTTAATAAATCATTGGATGAACAGCAAATTGGACAGTCAATTTTGGATAGCAAAGTCGCATATTCAACCACTAGCCACCAAAATCAAGTACCATGTACAGCTCCGACAGTGAAATGACAAAGAGTAATTTTTTAGCCTCTCATTGATACAATTTACATGAAGTATATGCGAACATTCAGACAAAACCAAAACCTCATCACCTTCCTTGAATTCACTTAGACACTGCACATACTTGCTTTGCATTCTTCAGAGTATTTTGAGGCAACTACATGTTCAACTTTTCCTCGTATTTCTAGGAATACTTTGCATTTGATTTGTGGAAATTGTATGTGTTTGAGTACTTGCAATACCATGGCAGATCACCATTATGCAGTGGAAAATTGCAACCAATAAAGCACCAATCATGACCTCGAGAAATCCAACAAAAAGCGGTTCGAGTGCACAATGATGATTTTGATCGTCTATAAGAATTTAAAACATGCGATTGAGTTATTTTTCAATTGAAGCTCACAATTAATAAAGTCCAAGCCCGAATCAAAGTCTTCAAATATATTTGTTAGAAGTTTCCTCCGAGTTTTTATATTCTACTAATGAAAATTTACCTACAATGAAAGTAGTGTTTGTTTGATAAAACTTTCGAACCAAGCAAACTTCACACTTTTAACCCCACATTTCATAAGATCAACAACTTTTATAAACACATTTTATTAATTTTGTCAAAATATGCTAAAATTTTATCAAAAGCTTTATCAACAGGCCGTGAAAAAAAAATGGAACTAGGAAAATCTTTTGTGTTTATATGAACATTTCCTCAAGCATTGGAATTTTTTATTTTATTTTAAAATTGTGCAATGAAAATGGTAATCTTTTGGAAATTTTTGTACAACTAAAAGGTAATTAAATTGTTATAATTATAGAGAATAACTCTTTTATAATCTAACAAAATTTAAATAATCATAAAAGAAGCCATCATTAGATAATCAAAATCCTATTGAAGTAATCACAAAAATCAGGAACTTCCAAACAAAGAGTACTTGGTGCACCGATGAATACTCACCACGTCACAAAAATGCCAAAAGAAAATTCCTTTCGTGTCATGACGGCCGTTTAACGTGTTGTATTGCTTCACAACGCACTTCATTACTGGCGGTGACTGACATATGTTGCGTCTAGTCCTTATTTGGTGGCCCCTTTCTTGAAAAAATATATGATTAAAAAGTAAAAAAAATAATTAAATTTACGTAAAAATATTTTATTGTGTGAATGTAATTAAAAATGAGCATGTAAAAAAGGAATTTTGAAAGAATGGAAGACAAATAGAGGCCAAATTGGGCGGGCGATAATAATTTATCAAGACGGCTATTAAAATTAGTACGAGAAGATGATCAATTACTCTGACAATAATAATTTATGAAGACGGTTATTATAATTAGTAAGACAAGACGATCAATTACATAAAGAGATATAGTATATAATTGCTGAGTTTGAAATTTTACTTATAAGTAATTTGAAAATGTGTAATTTGAAAATAACCCTCGGTTTAATGTTAAAATAAGCAAATTATTTTGTCAAGGAAAAAATTTTGAAAATAATCCTCAAGTTAATGTTAAAATAAGCAAATTATTTTGTAAGAAAAAACTAGTTGAAATATATTTAAAAATAAAAATTTCCAAGTTACTTTTAAATTTAGCCTCAATTTGGGATGAATTTATAAATATATAGAAATTAGTATTAAATAAGTAGATAATACATGTAGATCCATTGATATGTATAGTTAAAAATGAAATTTGATCAATTTAAACTGATTTATAAATTCATCAAATAGAGACTTAGTCAAACTTGTGTCCTAATCCATTGTGAATTTGCGACAACACAAAGAATTTTCTACAATAGACGAAAGGTTTGATTGACACCAGATATGATCCATGTTTATCGTTTAAATTATTTTTGTTTTGTTTGAGTACTTGACAATTGCTTCATATAGTAATGTTTCGAGTATCACCTTCAAAAAAATTTGCTTCCTGAACAAACTCCTTCCACATCATCGAAAGTCGGCCTTCAAATCACAGCCTCGCTTTAGTTGCTTGTAGATATGTTGAAGTCTTTTCATAAATATCGAGTATATAGAGCCTAGTGTCACTTGATTTATTTTCAATTTTAGCTAATAAGAGTGTTTTTTTAATTATAAGTATTTTTTTAATTTTAAGTTTTTAATTAGTTTTTTTTCCTAAGCTTCCCACAAATTATCCAAGTCCAATTAAAAAAGAGAGAGGAGGCACATAATAACAGTTTGAAAAGTAATCAACAAGAATGAGAGAACCAATATAATTCAGACATTATCGTACATTGACCCACCCGACCTTGACAAGGTCCAAACGGCACCGTCACACTGGCCCAGAAGCATCATTCAGTGCAGATTTTTACCTCTACTAGGCTACACCTACAGCCACACAACGACACAACCAACCTCACCAGAATACTCGAAAGAAACCCATATACGCGTTTTCATCTCTCTCTCTCTCTCCAGCAATTTGCGGTATGTCAACGTTTCTGTATCTTTTGACCAGAAAGGATATCAAGAAATTGAAAGGTTAGTTGTTTAAGTGGAAAATAGGGAGCCTTTTTGTATTGTTGAACGTTGATAGATAGAGTGAAGATGAGGATTGTGAGGACTATTGATTCTTCTGAGTGTGCTGGTCTCTGTGGATTCTTGGTTGTGGAAGCTTATCCCAAAAGGTATTCTTCCAAGATCCCCTCAGATTTGGTCCTTTTCTTGGGCCTTGGTTTCATAGACTGGTAATAATCATATATAGATACAGAAAGATTGAGTTTATTGCGGATAAGATTTTCGTTTGAGACTGTGGATTTGATGGATCTGATTCACTCTCTACCACCAGTGTTTGGAGGGTTCATGGAGATTCTTGGCTTGGTTAGATGTGGTCTTCATCTAGCTTTTTATTAATTTTCTTAATACATTTCAGGTGTTGAAGTTTTTGCTTATTTTGGTATACCCCTTTCTGTCTATTTAATGTTCTTGATTTTCCTGATAATATTGTTGTCGTTTTCAATTTTAATATAGTTGGGTTAAGAATTCAATTTCGCTTTGATTTAGGGTTTATAAAATTTAGTGTGAGGGGTGTAAGTTCTTGAACTTGAAACACAATTTTGGGATGAATAAATTAAGATTCTGATGAAGATGGGGATTTGTATATGGGATTGACATGATGGAGGTGTTTATAAAGAGTGGTATATTGTCAAAATGTTTATTGGGATGAAGTTTATAGATATACATTTCGAAAATTGATCCAAGCCAAGGATAATTTTGAGATGGAAGATACTCTGCTGACAGCTTTATCAATGGAGAATCATCACCCTTCAACCCTCTTATCCATGGACTCGAGTGCCTCGTCATCACATGAAGAACTAGACCTCGAAATGAATCGCCAAGTTGTATTAACCTGTCCTCCTGATATCAATTTACCCCTTTCAGCCGAGCGAAGCCCCCCTCCACAGCCTTGGAACCATGAACACTGTGATATTCTTGATGTTGGACTAGGTTCCCAGATGTACGAGACTGAAAGTTTTCTCAGTGTCCCCAAAGTTGGGAGGAAATGTGCAAAAAGGATTGATAGCATCTGGGGCGCTTGGTTCTTTTTTAGCTTTTATTTTAAGCCCGTATTGAATGAGAAATCGAAGGCTAAGATAGTTCGTGACAGTAATGGGATTTCCGGGTTCGATAAATCTGATCTCAGGCTAGATGTTTTCTTGGTTCAGCATGATATGGAAAATATGTATATGTGGGTTTTCAAGGAAAGGCCTGAGAATGCTCTGGGAAAGATGCAACTCCGGAGTTATATGAATGGGCATTCTCGTCAGGGAGAGCGTCCCTTTCCGTATAGTGTTGATAAAGGTTTTGTTCGATCTCATAGGATGCAACGTAAGCATTACAGGGGACTCTCAAACCCTCAGTGTGTTCACGGCATCGAAGTGGTTCCATCTCCCAATCTCAGTGGTCTCGATGAAGATGACCTAAAAAGATGGACCGAACTCACAGGGAGGGACCTGAACTTCACTATTTTACCTGAAGCTAGTGATTTCAGTTCATGGAGAAATATGCTGAACACCGAGATTGAACTTGAGAGGCCACCACCTCCTACAAAGAGCAGTCCACATTCCCACTCGAAGAAATTGCTTAATGGATCTGTGTTAAATCTGTCAACTCAGACATCCAACCATATCAATGGGGAAGCGATGGATCTATCACCCGTTAGCAACAAGAGGAAGAAGGATTTCTTCTCACAGGGTAATGATGATGATCGATATTTGGAAATAACTGCTCCTTCCAAACGTATCCCCGATTTGGATATTCACCCAAATGAGCCACACTGGCTGAATGAATTTAGTGGAGTGCTGAGAAACGTATATGGACCTGTTACGGCTGCCAAAACAATCTACGAGGATGAAGAAGGTTATTTGATTGTAATCAGCTTGCCTTCCGTAGATCTTGAGAGGGTGAAAGTTTCATGGAAGAACACACTCACACATGGAATCATCAAGGTCTCCTGCATGAGTACATCTCGCACACAATTCATCAAGAGACACAACAGAACTTTCAAGCTAACGGATCCATCATCAGAACACTGCCCTCCGGGAGAATTTGTCAGAGAAATCCCACTTTCGACCCGAATTCCTGAAGATGCTAATATAGAAGCTTATTATGACGGGCCAGGAACAGTGCTCGAAATACTGGTGCCAAAACTTCGTGCTGGACCAGAAGAACATGAAGTTCGTGTTTGCCTTCGTCCTCACCATGTGGGTAATGATCTTAAGTTGACATAAATATGTACCTGATGAAATGCAATTGTCATGAATGGCTTACATTTGTTACCAGTAGAACCGATTGTGCAGTTTAAACTCCTTGTATCTGTTTCCATAATAGCTATGGGTTTGTTCCTATGTATCTGACCAGCTTTGTTGCTATTATATTATCAGTTAATTTATTCTTACCACTGCCCCATAATTATTTCCTCAGTTGGAATGAAGCAAATCAATATCAATTGGGACTACCATTTTTTGTATTTTCTCCCTGTAATTCTAGCAGGACGTCATTTTATGTGGAGCCCTCAAAAGAAGGCAAGTTCTAGTGAAACTACTTTGCCTTGATAATTGATATTAGTGATAAGAGAGAGGGACTTGGACGATAAGGCAAGTTCGCTAGTGGTGTTATTTCCACCATAAGAGTAGAAAAAGCTGGAGAAAAGGTCAAATATGATAGGTGTAGAAAGGTTGAGAAATGATAAGGCTTGTTCACATAACTTTGGAAAAACATGTCCCACTTCTTTAATAATTCAAGTTAGTTGAAATAACTGTTAGATGAGGCATTGCAAGAAAAAGACATAATTTGAGATTCAATTAATAGTGGGAGATGTCAAATTTTGATTGTTTATGTGGACATTCTCGAGTTAAAAAGGGGTTCAATCTTGGCGTCTCGTTTGTTGGTATATTGGCTTAAAAGTATCATAAACTTTGACGTAATTTTTGTTTATTTTTCTTATCTTATTAAAAATAAAAAAAGGTACTATAACGACAACGGAAGTTAATTATTTTAAAATTTATTACATACCAAATCCACGCATTTGCTAAAAATCTCATGAATTGCTCGAGCATTTAATCATTCGTTTCAGAATTTCACATCCCACTCAAAATCTCCATTTCTACACTGACATTGGGGAGTAACCAAAGCAACAAATTTCATAGCTATAAATATATTTCTACTCATTGTCATAGATTATTAATATAAGAACGGAGATCCTCGGCAATTTTCATTACAATCAAATACCGTAAAGTGCTGTGAAGATGCCATATAACAGAAGGATCGTACATTTCCGAAGAAAAATCCTAAACAATAGGTAAAGATACTAATTTGCAGAAATAATACCACTTTCAAAAGAAATATATTGCCGAAACAGGCTTTGAACAATACTAATAAATTCCAAACCATCACAAATTGATACTAAAATAAAACATCACATAAAGAACACTGGACTGGATTTAGTCAACTTCCTCGATCTTGGGACCAGCTCCGCTACCACTTGGGGCAGGACCATCATCATCCATGGCAGCACCACCCATATCACCCATATCACCACCCGCACCCTGGTACATCTTCGCAATAATGGGATTGCAAATGCTTTCCAGCTCCTTCATCTTGTCCTCAAACTCATCTGCCTCGGCTAGCTGGTTCCCATCGAGCCACTGGATGGCCTGCTCAATGGCGTCCTCAACCTTTTTCTTATCAGCTTCAGGGAGCTTGGATGCAATCTTCTCGTCCTTAATAGTGTTCCTCATGTTGTATGCATAGTTCTCCAAAGAATTCTTTGCCTCAACCTTCTTCTTGTGTTCCTCATCCTCAGACTTGTACTTCTCTGCTTCCTGAACCATCTTCTCAATATCCTCCTTCGAAAGTCTACCCTTGTCATTGGTAATTGTGATCTTGTTCTTCTGCCCAGTGGTCTTGTCCTCGGCAGACACATTCAAGATACCATTAGCATCAATGTCGAAGCAAACCGTGATCTGTGGAACTCCCCTTGGCGCTGGAGGAATGCCCGATAGCTCAAATTTACCGAGCAAGTTGTTGTCCCTAGTCCTTGTTCTCTCTCCTTCAAATACCTGGATCAACACTCCTGGCTGGTTATCTGAGTAGGTGGAGAATACCTGCTCCTTCTTGGTAGGGATGGTAGTATTCCTTGGAATCAACACAGTCATTACCCCGCCTGCAGTTTCCAGACCTTGGGAGAGAGGAGTAACATCCAAAAGTAGAAGGTCCTGCACCTTTTCATTACCCTCACCACTCAAAATTGCAGCTTGAACAGCAGCACCGTAAGCAACAGCCTCATCAGGGTTGATACTCTTGCAGAGCTCCTTGCCATTGAAGAAGTCCTGCAGCAATTGCTGAACCTTGGGAATCCTAGTAGAACCACCAACAAGGACAACATCATGGATGCTGCTTTTATCCATCTTGGCATCCCTCAAACATTTCTCAACTGGCTCCATACACTTTCTAAACAGGTCCATGTTAAGCTCTTCAAATCTGGCACGAGTGATGGTGGAGTAGAAATCAATACCCTCGTAGAGAGAGTCAATCTCAATGGTTGTCTGGGCAGTGGATGAGAGAGTCCTCTTCGCTCTCTCACAGGCAGTCCTCAACCTCCTCAGAGCTCTGGGGTTACCACTGATGTCTTTCTTGTTCTTCCTCTTGAATTCTTGAACAAAGTGATTGACCATTCTGTTGTCGAAATCCTCACCTCCAAGGTGAGTATCACCAGCAGTAGCCTTCACCTCAAAGATACCCTCCTCAATGGTAAGAAGAGAGACATCAAAAGTACCACCACCAAGATCAAAGATCAGGACATTCTTCTCACCAACACTGGTTGCCTTCTTGTCAAGCCCATAAGCAATAGCAGCTGCTGTGGGTTCGTTAATGATGCGCATCACATTGAGACCAGAAATTACACCAGCATCCTTGGTAGCTTGACGCTGAGAATCATTGAAGTATGCTGGGACAGTGACCACAGCATTCTTTACAGTTGAACCGAGGTACGCTTCGGCAATTTCTTTCATCTTTACTAACACCATAGAAGAGATCTCCTCAGCAGCAAATTGCTTCTCTTCACCCTTGTAGTTAACCACTATCATTGGTTTTTCAGCAGCTCCAGCGATGACCTTGAAGGGCCACAACTTGATGTCACTCTGTACGGAGGCATCACTGAATCTCCTACCAATTAACCTCTTAGCATCTGCAAATGGGAAAATCATCATCACTACGTATATGGATTTTAAATACACAGGCAAAACTTTAAAGCTTACAATGCCAGTTAAAAACACAGATATGAAATAAAATCATAGGTCTAACAGCATTGATGGGCTATGGGGCATCACAAAAAACCTTGTATCTTCCAGCATATAGAAAACATATAACTTGGACAAGCATTATCGTATGTGGACAAATCCCAAAAAATCTTTGCAAAATACATTACACTCGTCCTTTTAATTTGGAAACAAACATTATCGTAGTCTGTTACAACAGTACAGGAGCTCTGAATAAAAACCTCAAGGAAAAGAACCAAAAGTTGGGTGTTACGTGAAATTCCAATCTTCACATTCAATTATAATGTGATCGAGGGTACCCCTTGTGAGAGAACGTGGGTTGAGTCTTTTATTTGTTCTGAATTTAAAGGCAAAATAAAAACACAGTATCACAACTGCATAATATTAAATTACAATCTTCAGATTCAATTATAATGAAATTGGTTCTACTACTTGCTCATCGAGTAGGTTGCATGCTTTAGTTTTTATGTATTTGAAGACAAAATAAAAACACATTATGACAACTGCTGACATTACGAAATCCGCAAAGTGAGAAATACAGCCTAATTTAGCTCCGAAAATATTTTGTATAAATTAAATGTACTAGGAGAAAACGAGCTCTGTAAACAGAGTGAAATTTCGTAATTCTGGGTCTACGAGCACAAACAGGAACAAATATGAAAATTCATCTCTCCCCTAGATCTAAAATCAGAGGATTGCAATTCCACCAATAGATGATAATGGCAAGCAGGCACGATTAATACCCAGATCTGCAAAAAACGACCATACTGGAGCCAAGGATTTCATGAAACAAAACTACAATCGGAAGAATACAATTTTATGTACATTTCCAGAGTATATTTAATTAACACTTATTCATAACATATATATAATTATTGTTCCACCAAAGTGTGCAAATTTGCACATATAAGCATGCACATTAATTATTAATTACAGGTCTGCTTCGAAAGAGAAAAAGGCTGATGTAAACTCTCTCACTGCTCACATAACAGATCCTACAAATCTAAGCATAGGATAAAAACACAGAAAGTGAAATAACAGATCTGCAATTAACAAATACAGTAATCCTATTCAAGTCAAATAAAATATATTACAGACATAGATCTAGAGAAACAACAGAAAAATATAAATACAGAAACGTTCATACATTGATAGTGGAAAAAGTGGAGCACAGATCTTACCGAATACTGTGTTGATTGGGTTCATGGCGACCTGGTTCTTGGCGGCGTCACCGATAAGGCGTTCGGTATCGGTGAAGGCAACATAAGACGGCGTTGTTCTGTTACCCTGGTCATTGGCGATGATTTCAACACGGTCATGTTGCCACACGCCGACGCACGAGTACGTTGTTCCTAGATCTATTCCAATCGCTGGTCCCTCTCCTTTTCCTGCCATTGTTATTCTTTGAGTCGGCGAGTTTGAACAAAGATAGGAGAGAGTTGTGCGGAGAACTAGGGTTTACAAGGAGTAGAGATGGAGGTGCAGAGAGTATTTATAAGTAGCAGCGCGTTGGATTTCGTGTTCCAGAATGTTCGAAAAGCCTAATTATTTTAACAGCCCTTGGATAGTACTATGTGCCAAAGTATCTGACGGTGTGAGATTAATTTTTGTTTTGCCTCCTTCGGCCACTTGGTTGGCCGGTCCTCCACTTGTGATGGAAGGGGGAACGAAGATAGGATCTTTTGGGTTAAAAACTCGACTGGTCACCGAATGTTCACTCTTGTTTCAATTTAGTCCTCAATTTTTAGACCCCATTTTATACACATTAATATAAAAATAAAAATAAAAAATATAATCGTTATGAGTCCTACACAAAAAATAAAAATTCAAATTTGATGATTTGATGTGATAAATAACGATTATATTTTTCATTTTAATGAAGAAAAAATGGAAAACAAATAGGGGCTTAATTTATTTCAAATCAATCACTTGACTATATTTTGTGTTTGAAATTAGTCACTCCATCCATTGCAATTTTTAGAATTAACGGGTTGCTCAGTTGGAAAACTTTGAAATGGAATTAAAAATGATGTTAATATTTTCTCATCTGTCTTTGACGCTTGTTTTATGAGTCCATGTTTGGCAGTTAGAGTGCCTTTTCATTATAATATTTTTCTTT